CCCCCCCCCAGATATGTGCGCTATGGTTGTTGGAGGTGGTGGCGGGGTGCTTTGGGTGGGCAGGTGAGTTTCGTGCTTGGGCACTTTCGTGATGCGCGTGTTTTTTTGGCGGGGGACGTGGATGGCGATTGTTATGGGGGTTGCCTTCCGAGGTGGGGGGTCCTTCGCCGGCAAAATTGACGAAGGGTGGCGAGAAGATGGGTGGCGGGGTCATTGGCCAGCGCCAGTCTACCCCGCGACCTTTGGCCTTTCGTTTCGCCGTCCGCGATGAGCCCCACGACACCATCGTTTCGACGGGAGGGCGATGGAGTTGTCGTTTAACAGTCGTGGGTACTGGTCGCTCGTCGCCGTCCACCAAACACGAGTGTGTGTTTATAAGGATGCGATCGTCCTTGCAAAATGCACGATTGGGCTCCAAACGCGCGCACCACGGTACACACGTCAGCCTTCTCGATGTGTCGCCTTCACCTACTCCTGCCTCCTCTCCCCGCTTGGTCATCTCCGCGGCACGAACGTAGTTGCACGCTGCGCTCCGCCGTCGTCGACGATTCGTGCCTTCCGGCGGGTTCGCGGTGACGTGAGCACGGTGCGCGCGCCACGAGGGTCGCTCGACGACAGTTTATCTGCCAGTGTTCGACGTCGTCGTCGTCTTCCTCGCCGCCTTAATCGCCTTTCTCGCCATCCTCGCGTTCGTCGCCATCGTCGCCATCGTCGCCTCGATCACAGCCGTGGTCTTGCTTAGTCTATGGGTTAATCCACCATCGTCGTCGCCGCATCGGCCGTGGGACATGTGAACTTCATTGCCGCGTTGTTCCACCGTGGAGTACGCACCTGTAATTATTCATTGTCAACGCCATCGTTGCCACCATCGCCACGTTCGTCGTCTTTCCCGCCATCACCGTCGTCGTCTTCGTCGCCAATACGGGCCGTCGTCGACAACGTCTTCCGCCCCGTCGATGACAGCGACGACATCATCGCCATACTCATCATCGCAGTGGAGACGTTGATCCGATTCTGACGACATGTTTCGCCATCGACGTGGAGATCTTGACATCGCGGGTGGTCAAGCTTGAAGTGGGTCTGTCGCATGTCATGTCGTCCCGCGGTTCTGGACGCGGCAAGTCCGCCGGGAAACTGGCTGTTGAAGCGGCTATCCGGGAGAAAAAGGGCCGCCACGTCGCCAACAAGCACAGGATGCTCGTCGAAGGCGGCTCCCAACTTGCGAGAAACGTCGAGGATGAAGAGTGGGTGGCGGAGGAGGCGGCGTCGCAGGTGGAAAGCGACTTCGAGGAAGAGGAGGAAGTGTCGTTGAAGCGGAAGTCGTCAAGGAGGGGAAGTGGAGCCCTTCGGATCGAGGACGTTGGCGAAAGACGAGGCGGAGGAGGCCGTGCATTAATGGAAGACGTCATCGACGTCAACGCCGCTGCGACATCCAGGCGAGGCGGGGGAACTGCCGTCACACAGCAACATCGTGCGCAGTGCCACGTGTGAACGAAGCCCCGGCCGCGCAAGAGGTTGTCGTCCGCTCGCGAACACCAGCAACCTCACGGGCGACGACGACTATAGACGTTGGCATGAATGGGCGAGCCGTCGGTCAGGGGAACAAAAGCCGCTCTCCTACGCAGGAGCTGCGCGGGGCCGCATCAGGGGCGGCTTCACACGCGGGGGAAGGGGCGAGGGCAGGCGGGGCCGCAGCGGGTGGGGCTTCTCACGCGGGGAAGGGGCAAGGGCAGGCGGGGCCGCAACGGTGGGGGCTTCACACACGGTTGAAGGAGCGAGGGCGGGTGGGGCGAAGGCGGCTGGGGGCCCACAGACGGGGGAAGGGGCGAGGGCAGGCGATGTCGCAGGAATGGGGGAGGACGACGAAGCGCTGGTGAACAGGGTGCGTCAGCGGAGTGCGAGGGATGGGGACGACATCTGCTTCTGGAACGAAACGGAAGGGAACGCCATTGTGAAGTTGATGCAGGAAGTGTGCCTGTATCTTGTTGAGGTGGCGCGGGGAGTGCAGCTTCCAGCAGTTCGTCGAAGCATCGTCTTGCCTCATACCACCATCCCGCAACACAAAATCGACGACGAATCGAAGTTGAAGGCTGCGCAGAAGAGGGCGTTGAAGGTGCAGACCATCGCTTTGCGGGTGATCCACGGGTGGGTCTTCAAGTCGACGAGCAGGCAACGGGGGTACCACGCTGCGTACGGGTACACATTGAACCACGTGGCCATTAACATCGCTCGCGCGATCTGGATGGGGGAGGACTGGCGTGTATGTGTGAGCCCCATGGTGTTCCACATCACGCTGGACATGGATATGAAGCTGCCACTGTGATTCGTCTGCGTCAACATCGAAGACAGGCACGAGAACGACGAGTTGGCGGCGTATCAGGAGGCGAGCATCCAGCGACTGGTGGGGGCATTCACGAGCGCTGTGAGCATGGCGGAGGCCCGGAGGGGATCGACGGCGGTCGGGTGTCGCACAAAAGGTTGAAGAACGTTGCCGAAGCGATGAGGATCATGCTCGCGGCGACCATGTGGCTCATGCGGATGAGCGGGGATGATCATCGCGCACATTACGACGGGTGGGTATTTGCCCAACTGACGACAAAACCGACGCTCATCGCATCCATGCATCGCTCATTCGACGTGCGTCGCCATCGTGCAAGCTGCGACCACCATCACGGACAAGTTGGTGAAACCCCCCATGACTTTGGTTGCGCCTCCATTGTACATCCCCGACTGTGCATCGACCGGCGTCAAATCCTCACATGACGCCACGTTGTCTTCCCCCATGGAGGCAAAGAAGCTCGATTGGTTGGGCACAGGCCCCCCGAAAGACATCGACGACGACAAAGCCGATGACGAAGGGAGTGGGGGGGGTTGATGACGCGTTCATGACGCTGTGTCTTCCTCGACGTCACCATCGCAGGGTGGGATAGGGTGGTTGCCGCATTTCCTGTTGAGACGGTGACGTGGGATGGGGGACGCGGGGGGGGGGGGG